TCTGCCCTATCGGGCAACAATATCAATGAAGATCACCTAATAACAGTTAACAAATGGTGAAATTAGAGACACGATGCAAACCATGTATGCACTGTGAAGTAAGCTTTTAGATCACTACCGAAAAATCCTTGGTGCTAGCTCCTAGTTCGGCAGTTACCTTTACCTACTTTCACAGTTAACAAATTTAGCGCCACAATCAAGATTATCCCATTAGTGACAGAACCGCTTTCCGGGGCGGTTACGACCTTCCAGCAGAGTGCAGGTTTTTTTGCTCCGAGTTTTCCGAGTCCTAAGTATAGGGCTTTCTGTTCAGATCGCATAAGATACCAAAAGTGGGCCACAAAAAGGGGAAGAGAGACGAATTGCAATGTCTCAAGCTACAAACTAACAAAAAGTGATGATGTATTCTCTAATGTATTCTCAGTGCTCCCTTCTAACTTCCGTGTGGGACGTACGACCTGATCTCTCAAGGTGGGTCATACATTTAATTTTCTTCCGGGCTTAGAGTGGATTTGTTAACTTCAATCAAACTTGCAGGGTACCGCGTGAAAAACAGGTCTCACCCATAAAAGGAATTTTGCAATAGTTAAAGGATAAATAGGAGGAAAGAATGATAAGAGACAGAATGCTCAAAAAGGAATGAACTAGATGGCTTGGAAGGAATGATTCATCCCTTCGAAGTAATGTTGCATAACGGTCAGCATAAACATTACCTGGAAGTAAGTTACCACCTGCCTTTGCTGCGATCTCGTTAGTCGACGACCTCTCAGGACACTCACTTGTTATCGCTCTATTCATCCCCATGGCACCAGTACCTTCCAGTAGGTCCCCGTAACTGAGAATTTGTTGGGGATGCTCATTTTTTGATTTTTAACATTTGCCAATCTCTCAGGAGGTCGTTGATGTCGTATATTTCGTGTTTGCTTGATGTCGAAGTCCCCTTTTTCATATTTTATGGAACCAATTACTGCGTTTGAATCTCATTCTCAAGGCCTTCTGACTGGATAGATTACTCTTTCTTGCGATAGTAAAGGAAATTAAAGAGTATAAAACGAGTTCGTTAAGTTCTGACCTTCCCACTGCGAAATGATGATTAAATAATACAAATTATACACTAGTACAAAAATGGTATCCGATATATTGCAAAGGGACCGAGATGAGGTAGTGCCAAGCAACATTCTACGACGCACACGATCCTGGGATCAATCTCGGCTCGATATCCACCTAGCCCCACCGAGCCCCCTAGCCGCTCCTCAGTTAGGTTGAGGGTGGTCATCCGAGAGACTAATGGCTCGAAG